TTTCCTTAACGAGTCTGAACAATTGTCTGCTATTACCTATTGCCGCTGTCTTTTCCATCTCTCTTGCTTTCGCTACCCACCACTGTTCACGACCATTGCGTAGACTTCTTGTCAGCTTGCGCTTAAGCTGACTCCACTCTTCACTATGTTCAGAGCCAGGTGGAATGAGTTTCCGAGCATCTATCAGTGCGATAGATGCTGCTGAAATCCAGTGTCGTTCCCTAACCTTACGGGTTACCGTACTAGCAGATATCACTGCTGTTTCCACAGCTTTACGGATATCATTCCATGCTGCCTCGGGGTGGGCATCACTTACATGGCTGCCTAACTGTTTTCCTAGTTGTTCCTAAAATATACTCTTAGCTTGACTATCATTAAGTAGGACCCTAAGAGGTTTACCTGCAGCGTCTTTCCTACGTCCAGTAAGACGCAGACAGATACGCGCTCGTACTAGAGCATGATCTGAATCTAAGCATGTGCTCCAGAATGAGCGACAGTCTTCTATCGAGCCCCTCCATAGGTGGCTGATAGCGATGTGATCTATTTGGGTTCAACGTTGAGACGAATTAGGGGGTCGCCGTGTCAAATGATGATTTTGCTTATGCTTAAAGATAGTATTTTCAAGAAACAGGCGGTTATATTATCTGAGCATAGCTGCAACAGACGGTCGCCATTATCTGTTCTTTGAGCCATGATGCTATAAGATCCACTCAGGTGTCTTTCCCTATCGCTTAGTTTGCCTACTTGAGCATTAAAGTCACCGGCCATTATTACTACATCTGAGCGCCTAGCTTTTCGGAGAAGGTCGGAGAGCTTTCTGTAAAACTCATCTTTTACATCATCTGCGCTGTAGCCAGTGGGAGAATAGGCAGAGACGACGAAGAGGCAACGACGAAAGTCCCTATCTTTTCGGATCCTTACTGTTCCGTTTAGTTGGACAGCGCACAAACGACTGTCTACTGGGATCCACTTTAAGAGAGCTAGTTCTGCCCTAGGACTCAATGCTATGCCTACGCCGACGAGGCCATGGGAAGCAGAATCAGGGCTTCCAGATACACGAAGTGTGAATCGAGTCGGTTCTTTATTTTGGCATGGTGAGGTCAAATGAATGACGCTACTCGGATCCTGTATGCGCGTTCCGGAGACGCAGCACACATCGATGGCTCGAGATTCTAAAGTCCTAGCTAAGGAAGCCTGCTGTCCTATTTGGCACAGTGTTCGGACGTTAAAAGCTCCTACGTGTAGTTTAGAGCGTGGTTTCAGGAGACCAGGAATAGCGTTCCCCATACTCAAATCGTTTGCCCTACCGGTGTGGTGATAGAGAAACGTGAGGAGGGTTAGTCATGGAAATAAGAGAGGTATTAGGAGGTGTAGGAAGGATTTGAATGTGACCAACTTGGTTTCATGCGCTGTTACGGGTATGAGGGCTGATATCACTTCCCGGCTGCCCACACCGTGGAAGGGTATTTTTTGAGGAACCTGAAAGTGAAATTGGATTAGTGTTGGTCTTAACGACCTGGGAGTGTGACCGCAGAGCCCAAGGGACAACTGCTTGAGGCCGGTCGCACACGGCCCTTTTGTGGAAGGTTTTTAATGAGTTAGCTCCGTTCTTCAAAGGGCCTTACCGCCGGAGACGGAAATCCGTGAGGTAAGGTGATGTGTGACATTTTTAGGGTCGACCATTTTTAACCCCACCCCTCCTTGTGAGAAGGCAGCATCGCTGCAGATGTTGGTTGTCCAAGGGAAACACCTTACTGCTGTCACACCTCTCTACAGTCAGCAGTACGACTTTACCCTCAGACCTTGAGTTACTGCTTTTAGTCTTACCGTTCTCCAATCGACCTTCCTGGCATGGTAGAACCTGCAGGAACATATGTTCCAGCCAATATAGCTCGGTTGGGTCATCACGATAGGCAAGCCCGACCACCGCGTCAAGGTAGCAGCTTCGGTCGGGCGTTCAACAGACGTTTAGGAGCGACTCACATTAAAACAACCAACCACCCATCAAAAAATGGCTTAGTCGAATGATTTCATCGCCAACTACAAAAAAAGCTCGCTAATGTTTTCAAACTTTACATTAATACTGGTCTTTAAACAAACCGATATAGTCCATCAACAATTAAACTTTTTGAAACAACAAGTTGTTTAATGTAATAAAAGTCTATCAACAGTGTTCCTAGCATCTTATCACAAATATAAATTTCAATATTGAAAGATTCAACTTTTATCTTTGATCAACATACACAGTATTTCGATAATGCAATGATAAGACGAAACTTATCAGAATTATGTGATATATTTGCGCAATACATTTCGAACAATCTGATCACACATATACTTGTTAAGAACATTTACATATGAAAATTAAAAGGTCAACTAGACAGGTTAAGGGTAAGTCATAACAAAGGAAAAATATTAAAGTACACAAAACAAATGTGATTACAACTCTGCATAATAAATCAGTATTACCAAGGTAGGTAAGGTGTCAGTCAGTCAGTAACAACGTAAAACTTCGTACGTACGTACATCAGTTCGAGTTGCCACACCACCTTAACACAGAGATGCAGTTGTCGATTCAAATCCCGTAGTGGTAGAGGTAGCAAGAGTGTAAGCAGTGATCAGGAAGATTAGGGTTTGGAGATGTTATTTAAAGAGTATTATTCAGTGAAATAAATTTGGAAAGAGGAAAAAAGGGACATGAAGAATTCAGAAGATTAGAATTTGGGAGAACATAAAGAGTGGATGCACCTGCCCCATTGCAAACGATTTTGAGCCATGTCATTCAGGGTCTCTAACCATCGGTTGCTATCATCTCGCGGTCCCCAATCAGGTAGTCTATACCTATCAACATGACTCAGACCACTTGTCAGTGACTTCATGGACTTGTGCCATGTTTTGGTCTGGCCGCCCCTAGCTTTCTTCCAATCTACTCCTATACCACTGAACATCGCACGTCGAGGCAGTCGGTCGTTGGGCATACGTAACACGTGTCCCAACCATCTCAACTGATGAAGGTGTAAGGACAAATTGTTTTTGAACACATTAAGGGGGTTTCAATTTCCATATAACCAAGGCTTCCAGAGCGAGACCGGAGTTCCTGGGCTTAAATTCCGCGGCGCATTGCCGTGGAGTCCCACATTAGGATGAAATGACCTTCCAATGCTTCCAGGTTCTCAATGGTGGCCTAACGCTAATCGGTTCATGAATTCAATGAAATTCAACGATCTCTATAGCCCAAACTGAAAGTTATGATATTCAGTTTTGCTAATTGACTAATAAGGCTTAAAAACCGTTAGAATTTAATCATATGAATCTGACACGTTTAAACTGAATGTTTTGAACAAAAATGGAGATCAGTCAATTTATAGCCACAATACAGAATAAAATTGAACAAAACAGACCAAAAAAGTCAGTGTCGATGGGTGTTTGTTATATCCGATTTTATGGCTTGTTTGCACTCTCTGTTCTACTGGGATCGCACGGTTAATCTGTTTAAAAGATTATCATACTATAAACACGAAATTTGTCCACATAATCTATGTAAAATGAAAGTAATCAAACCAAGTTTGGACTTATTTTTATTGTTATGTGTTTCAAACGCTCCGATAAACATCAGCGGTAGGAAAGCAGATTCATCGCCATCAGAACAAGCAATTGGGATGGGTCATAGGACTGACCTTAACATAGCTTCTGAAACGTCAAGAGTGGATCCTTAGGTTTCTAGAAGTCCTTATCGCTAACAAAAATCTCTATATACACAAAAACAAGTGGTTGTAACCTTACATCTCCTCTGGTAATTTTCAAAGCATTTTACGGTCTAGGGTAGTATGTTAACTGCCAATTCTTTCTAAATTGCATTATTTCATTTTCTCTTTTATTCCCAATTATCCCCTTCAAACTTCATCAGTTTTCGTATATAAGAACTTTGAAAAGTATGTGATCAGACTGTTAGAAACGTATGAAAATGCATAACATTTTTGTCTTCCTGATTAATTGCTTTAAATTATAAGTGAACACTGAGTTTCGCGCCTAAAGCGTTAAAAGTTTAAATTAATCAAATGTTCTATACTTACTACAGAATCATTATTCAGAAGAGGATTCCCATGAGTAATCTAAGTTGGTAGTGAGTTAAACCGATAAAAAGGAAGAGAAATAAAAATCACTAAAGGCACAAAGGTATAAAAATACAATTAAAAGATACCACACTAAATATTTCAAATTTCCATTAACACTCAACCGCTTCTCCGTTACGACTGGTCACGGAACTTACAATTTTAAAGTTACTGGATCTCAACTTATTACAGCATCATACACCTAACAACGTAGTGAATCTGTCGATCAGTACCAACCAGATAGGAAGTTAACGACAGATAGAATATTATACTTCTAGCTTAACACGATTAACACAAAATACTGTGTTGAGAACTTACCTAACGACTAAAAATAACAAATAAGTTTTTTATTTCTTTTGTATAGAATAAGTCCTAGCGACCATATTAAACTGGTGTTTTAATTCATTTTAACCCTACATAACAAATCACTAAACAAAGTAAACATACTTGGCCATTAATCAATGCGTTCTCAATCGATACGAATGATCGTCCATTGTGGCATACTTCAGGAGTGTCAAAAAATATGACAGCCAAAGGCTTTTTTCTTGCGTTGACATGCACTAGTTGAGTAATAGAAATGCTTCATAATATCCCGAAAAATTACAGTAAAATGTTTCTCCAATAAATGTTTTATAAATTCCCTGTCAGAAAACAGATACTCTGCACACAAATGCCTTATATATATGCAGCTAAATATAATTAGAATGTACTGAAAATAGATGAAAATGAACAGAAGTTGGTTTATGAGTCACTACATGTAACTTGTATACCAGCCTGGAATTTTTTGAATTATCAGCCCTTAAGACCATAAATGTTTGATATGAAGCAACGGAGACAGTAAACACAGGGAGAATAACGATCGAATATTTATGAATATATGTATATTTAACCGATTACTAAGGACGAGGTACAAATATAGATAACTTCCCGAGTACACATTAGCATCAACTGATATTAAAGCTCGCTAAATCACTCTGCAGAGGTATATGAAGGCTGCTGATCGAATGAAGCACCAAGCTCTCGGTTTCGGTTTATAGCATACAAAGAGTAGACATCTAAATGCTCTTTAAGGAATTAAGCGAAAGATTGATTATACAAATACCCACTAGTGATTTACTTGCAAACCTATATATGTGCTAATAATAAATGAACTAATGAATACTATATATCTCACTCTACTGCATGCAGGATTTATTCACTGAGAACGCGAGTATTCCGTAGGAATAATCTCGTCCTTTTTAAAAAAAATAGCAAGCTTTTAAAAACGTTAAGGAAACAACAACCAAACTGATTGCCAGAATATTGTGTTTACTGCATTACGAGAGACTAGCTACACTAAACCTGTTTAGTCTATCACAGAAGGACCAGAGGTGAAATAATCAGTCAATAAACTACTTAATACATTTGTATTTGACATAATCTCATTTTCTCTTGTCTTTTGGAACACAATATTCACGATTGCGCTCCGAGCAAGCTTATAAGGCCAGAATGACGTGCGTATTATATGACTAACGACATTACTACCGAACCATCAACAAATGGTTTCAGCTCCTGTAGACCAATTCCAAGAAGGGTTGTACTGAGAAAAACCCATCGCCTGAGATGGTCTTACCAGCACTTTATTTTCTCCGAAAACAAACTGGGAAGCCTGGCGTAGGTTCCATTTTAGGTTGGTGAATAATATCTTAAGCCTGGCTGAAGTGCTCAACTATTGTCCAAAACGTATCCTCTTAGCGACAGGAGCTCGAGAACGTTACAGGGATTATCTGACTGTGTAAAGCCTGGAAAACAACCAATGGCTAGGGTTGACAATAATCCATATACTTGAAACGGTGCTAAAAGTATAAACATTGGTGTTCACCAGCTCCATTACTAAACGTGATATATATATATATATATATATATATATATATATATATATATATATATATATATATATATATATACCGCGTCATCAATACTTGGAACCTGCTGTCTGAAGCAGTGGTGTCCGCACCTTCAATTGACTCTTTCAAGAGAAGACTGTACACTCAAAAAAGTATACTAGAAAAGGAATAAAATAGGCCATAGGCCTTCTGTCCTTACTACACAAATCGGAATATATATATGCGTCTGAAAATCGGACTTCACATGTGGTATTATCTGAACATTTTAAATTCGAGTTACGCGACAGGGTGAGATTCAAGTTCATTAGCGAACAAGACAATGTCTGCAAACATGGAAATAGTTTATCAGACACTATAGCCTGAAATATTACTTCTTATAAGGAGTAACGTCACTAATGCAGACACTTTATTTAAGCAATACCGTAGCATAAAATTTTACGAAATCACGGATAACCCATGAATGGCTGCACGTTTTTGAGATGCTTGGTGTTGTGGAGAGAATGACTGGAACGATTTTACGTTCCGATGAGTTCTGTGGAAGTCTAGATCTTAAGCACCAAACTATTTGACTGTTACAAAAAATACGCAACTGGTTTCTTTATGAGTAATAAAGACAGACAATTACAACTAACTTTTGCGTATGTCTTATCAAAATTAAAGGATACAACTTGCACAAGCAAAACCGAATGCGGCTAGTGCAATCACAGACGCTTTTCTCTTTGTTGCTTGAACAATGATCGACCTTCTTACATTTGATTTCTCAGTATGTTTGATAAAATGTCGCAAAACATCGTCCGACTTATCGTCACTCATATTTGAGTAACGCAATTTCCAAATATCCCTCCGCCTACAAATGATTCGAATGCATTATTCAGAATAAGAATTGTGTATTCAAGACAAAAGGCCTAGGGCCTGTGTTATTCACTTTCCAGCATGCTTTGGTGAGTGTCCAGTCTCCTCTTGAATGAGTCAATTGAAAATGCAGACAGGTTCAAAGAATTGATGACTCCAGTCTTCAGTAATAAGGATAGTAGGTTGATGAACCTGTGTTAATCCTGACACATTGCTTTCCAGTGAAGGTCCAGCTTCTCCTTGAAAGTATTCACTGATGGGGCTGATACCACTTGTTCGGGTAAGGCGTTCCAATCATTGACTACTCAATGAGAAAAACGGGATCCCACTTTAAGTTTATTAGATCGTGGTTTATGAACCTTCTTGCTATGACCTCGGAGATTATTAGTGCTAGAGGGAGCAAAAAGATAAGACATATTAACACCCAAATCATAATTAAAGATACGAAATGCCGGTATAAGGTCACCTCGTGTCCTACGATACGACAAGAGGAAAAGATTTAGGCGTTTTAAACGCTCATCGTCAGGGAGTCTAGAAAGACCCTTCACTAATTTCGTTCCCACAAGCTAGACACGCTCAAGTGAGTTAGTATCCTTTACCAGACACGGGCTAGCTGCTTGGATACAGTACTCTAAATGTGGTCCAACATATATGGGATATAAAATTCGAAACATTTCCTCGTCAAAAGATTTGAACGCTCGGCGAAGTGACCATAACGCACGAAAACCTTTGACAGCGGCTGCTTTGCAATGCGTAGTTGTTTTTAAATCATGACTTAATATTACTCCTAAGTCTTTATGCTCTTGAACGCAAGGAAGAGGTTTACCCTCAATAGTGTAACGGCAACTATTACCGTGACCGATGTGCATTAGTACACTCTTCCTAGCATTGATTTCTAAGCCCTACTCTCGAGCCCATCTAACTAAATCATCTAAGTCAGCTTGAAGATCCACATGATCAACTGCACTTTTTATTGTTCTCCAGATTTTTACATCATCCGCAAACAATAATGTCGACGACCTAAGTAGCAGCGGTAAATCATTAACGTAGAGAAGGAAGGGCAGATGGCCTAAGATGGTGCCTTGGGGCACACCACTTTTGACCGGCTTCCAATCGGATAGCGTTCCGTTGACCCTAACTCTCTCTGTATGCGGTCACATAAGAAATTTGAAAATCGGTATGCCACTTGTATTTTGTTAGTTCTTAGTTCTTCTACTCTTTCATACTTCCTGTCTACCGCCTACTAGGGGATCCTTACGCCATTTCAGGGGAGATCCGGCAATTTCAGGATTTTTTAGCTCCAATAGCAATCTATTTGTTACCACCTTGTCAAATGCTTTGCCAAAGTATATATAGTCGAATTTCACTAATTTTCCGTTGTCTAGAGCTTTTATCTATTGTTCCCTTCCTATAAGGAGGTTTTTTGTACAACATACACTTTTTCTGAAATCATATTGTTCGCTGTCTAACAATCTGTGGGTCTCCACAAGTGTGAACTGAATAGAAAAACTTTCACTTAACAAGCCACTGTGTGGGAAATGACGTTTATCAAAAGAAAAAAGATCAAATATTAGTATATAGTTATGAAGTACTGTTTTGAGTTTTCGAAGATATATCGCGTTTCCGAATGAATGGCTAGTTGGAAAATGCTAGATATACCACAGTAAGTGGTAAATTTCAAAAATTGATTACACTTTCGCGGTCCGGGATCTGACTCCGTTGTGACCGTTCCTGACTGATATATATATATATATATATATATATATATATCGTCATTCCCCGTATATAAATACCTACTTAGATCGCGTTAGTGAATAACGGAATCAAATAATTCAAATACCAGAATGGATTTTCCAATACATGTATTTTGTACAATCGTTGACTGAAACAAGTAGTCATAGAGACTTAGTGAAAAAAGAAGTGAGAGAGCAAAACGACGCCCAGTGGAGAGCATGTGAGCCAGCTCGATTTCAATCGAGCGTAAATCAATACTCATAGTCTCACAAAAATAAGATACAGACGTGTGATGAGTACGATAAGTGTATGTAGATGTTATTTACTTACTTACTTACTTACTTACTTACTTACTTACTTACTTACTTACTTACTTACTTACTTACACTTGTTACTCCTCGTGAAGGAGCATAGGCCGCTCACCAGCATTCTCCGTCCAACCCTGTCCTGGGCAATCCTTTCCAGCTCCTTCCAGTTCCTATTCATCCTTTTCATATCTGCTTCTATTATCCGACGTAATATGTTCTTTGGCCTTCCTCTTTTCCGTTTTCCTTCAGGATTCCAAGTTAGGGCTTGCCTCGTGATGCAGTTTGACGATTTGCGTAATGTATGTCCTATCCATTTCCATCGTCTTTTGCTAATTTCTTCTTCAGCTAGAAGTTGGTTTGTTCTCTCCCACAGAAGGCTATTGCTGATGGTATCCGGCCAATAGATGTTGAGTATCTTGCGTAGACAGCTATTTATAAATACTTGTACCTTCTTGATGGTGGTTGTTGTAATTCTCCAAGTTTCAGCTCCATACAGTAGAACTGCCTTGACGTTGGTATTAAAGATTCTTACTTTGATATTGGTTGAAAGTTGTTTTGAGTTCATATGTTCTTTAACTGTAGAAATGCTGTCCTTGCTTTGCCAATCCTTGCCTTTACGTCTGCATCTGAACCTCCTTGTTCATCGATGATGCTTCCTAGGTATGTGAAGGACTCTACTATTTCCAGAGTTTTGCCATCAAGAGTGATTGGATTGTTGTTTTCCGCTTTGAATTTGAGGACTTTGGTTTTCCCTTTGTGTATGCTCAGGCTGCTACACTGGCTGTCTTCATCTGCATCTATTCGTGTGTACGTGATAGGAGGGCTAGGTCATCTGCAAAGTCCAAATCGTCTAATTGATTTTGAGCTGTCCATTGAATTCCGTGTTTACCTTCAGATGTCGAGGTCTTCATAATCCAGTCGACCACCAGAAGAAAGAGGAAGGGAGGGAGTAAACAGCCTTGTCTGACTTCGGTCCTTACTTCGAATGCATCTGTCAGCTGTCCTCCATGCACGACTTTGCTTTGTAGTCCGTCGTATGAGTTCCGGATAATGTTGACAATCTTCTCAAGAACTCCGTAGTGTCAAAGAAGTTTCCATAATGTCCACCTATCTACACTGTCGAATGCTTTTTCATAATCAATGAAGTTGATGTATAGTGATGAGTTCCACTCAACTGATTGTTCGACGATGTTCCTTAGTGTTGCAATTTGGTCTGTGCATGATCGATTCTTACGGAATCCAGCTTGTTGATCTCGAAGTTGGGCGTCTACTGCATCTTTCATCGGGTTAAGCAACACTCTGTTGAAGACCTTCCCTGGTATTGACAGCATTGTAATGCCTCTATAGTTTTCACATTTGCTCAGATCTCCTTTCTTTGGAATCTCGACGAGGTGCCCTTTTTTCCAGTCCGTCGGCACTTGTTCCTCCTCCCAAATCTTTTTGAATAGAAGATAAAGCATGCTTGTGATTGTTTCAATGTATGACTTCAGTGCTTCAGCTGGTATGTTGTCAGGTCCTGCTGCTTTTCCGTTCTTGATTTGTCTGACGGTCATTCTAATTTCTTCCTTCGTTGGTGGGTTGACATCTATAGGAAGATCTATGTGTGCTGCTTCGATGTCCGGTTGATTCATTGGAGCCGGCTTATTCAGATGTTCTTCGAAGTATTCTACCCATCTGTTTCGCTGTTGTTGAATTTCGGTGATTGGCTTGCCTTCTTTGTCTTTGACCGGCCTCTCTGGTTTACTGTATTTCCCTGCTAGTTTCTTCGTTGTATCGTGAAGCTGTTTCATATTTCCTTCTCTAGCAGCTTTTTCTGCCGTCGTTGCTAGTTCTTCCACGTATTTCTTCTTGCCAGGTCTAATGCTTCTCTTCACTTGTTTGTTTGCTTCTATGTATTCAGCTTGTGCTTGGACTTTCTCTGCTCGTGTTCGGCTGTTGTTTATTGCTGCCTTCTTGTTCTTCCTTTCTTTGATCTTGTCCAATGTTTTTGTAGAGATCCATTCCTTATGATGGTATTTCTTTAGACCCAGAACCTCTTGACACGTTGAAGTTAGTGCTTCCTTGATGCCTTTCCAGTTGTCCTCCATACTAGTTTCTTCTTCTTTCAGTAGATCTTGTAAGGCTTGGAACCTGTTGTTGAGAGCTATCTTGAATTCATTGAGTTTGTCAGTATCTCGAAGGAAGGCTGTATTGAACCTTTGTATTGCTGTTTGTCCACTTGTCCAGTTCTTTTTAAGCTTCAGTTTCAAATTGGCCACAACTAGGTGGTGATCTGAAGCTACGTCAGCGCCTCTCCTGGTTCTCACATCTTCCATTGTCCTTCTGAATTTTTTGTTGATGCAAATATGATCTATTTGGTTCTCTGTAGTGTGGTCCGGTGAGATCCATGTAGCCTTGTGTATACGCTTGTGTGGAAATATTGTGCCTCCTATGACCAATTTGTTGAATGCACATAGATTTGCAAATCTTTCTCCATTTTCGTTCCTTTCTCCCAGTCCATGTCGTCCCATAATATCTTCATATCCAGTGTTGTCTATTCCGACTTTGGCATTTAGATCTCCCATCAGAATAGTTAGGTCCTTTCTTGGGCATTTCTCAATGACTGACTGCAGCCGCTCGTAGAACTGATCTTTAATGTCGTCGTTGCTATCATTTGTGGGTGCATAACATTGGATAATATTCATTGTGGTCCCCGCCTTCTTTGTTTTGAACGATGCTTTGATGATTCTGGATCCATGAGATTCCCATCCTACTAGTACATTTCGTGCTACTTTGGACAGCATAAGAGCGACTCCCTGAGTGTGTGGAGCATTGTCCTCTTCGTGACCGGAGTATAGCAGCATCTCTCCCGTAGCTAGCCTTTTCTATCCAGCTTGGGTCCAGTGGGTTTCGTTGTTTCCCAGTACTGCTAAGTTGTATCTCCTCATTTCCATTGCTATTTGACTGGTCTTC